TACAGAGCATTTCTATTTCAGTTCTCAAGAATCTTCCATATGTTTAAGTCTCATAGACCCCTCAAGCAAAGATAGCGCATAAATATTGATCTAAAAAAATTCTTGACTGCTTTTGCGTAATCGACTATAAGAGATGCTTCCTAACTCCCTTAGTGTAACAACCCAAAAATTTGAAAAAAAATATATATAATTGTAATTTGAGGTTTTAATTAAGTAAATTAGTGAAATTTGGGGACTAAATTGAAATATTTTAAAACTTGTAGCTTGTTTTAAAGATGAAAAAAATTCAGGGACCAAGCCCTGAGTTTACCCCTAGAGTGTCAGCATTCACGTATTATAAGCGTGAAATTCATTCTGAAATCAGAATGAATTTCACCAAATTTCCTCCCTCAAAGCCCCAACTTCCAACCACGATTTCGACGTCGTCCGACCTCTGATCGTCGATTTGAAAACACCACCGTGTTCATCATCGAGCGAGGAACAAATCCCTTAAATTAATTGAAGTGAAACGATGCCAAACGCCATGAATTTCAAGTCAAAGTCTCGACGTTTTTTTAGCTCCATCACCGAGAAAATCTTAAATTCATCGTCGATCGTTGCTCCATTTACGAAACCTCCCGCACCATCGTGTTCCTTGTATCGTTCGAGTCCGCCGGTGTCATCCTTGGTCTCTGTCGACGGCGACGCGTGGGGAGGTGAAGCAGCCAAAGTTTCCGATTTGTTGAAATCGAGCTCTTCGCCGTTCAAAAATTTGAACCGAGCTTTGTAAGTATCTCAAAATCGCTCAAATAATTTTTAGAAATTTTTCCGTGAATTATAGGACACCGGAGGAGGTCCCACGCGCCGCCACTGCGCGTGGGGAAGGCTCGACTAGTGTTGAAACCGGTTTGACCGGTCCGAACCGGTCTGACCCGACCCGACCCGACCTGTTGACACGACCCGACCCGACCCTACCCGTTGACCGTTGATCGTTGACCGTTGACCACCTTTGACCAGAACTTTGATCGGCTTTGACCGGCCATTAAACGACCGTTAATCTTTTTCGAGTATACCTATCTTGACATTTTTTGACATCCCAAATCTGCTTTTAGGGTCTGTTTCACAAAATTCGAACCCGAAAGTCTTCAAATTGTCAGTCAAACCCTTTGACTTTGACTTTGACCAATAATTTAAATATCCGGAAGGTCATACTTTTTGTTTTTCGACGTCCTGAATCTGATTCCGAAGTCCGTTTTGCCAAATTTTGACCTGAAATTCCCGAATCGAGCATGTGAATCCAAAAAGGCTTAGTATTTTAGTATTTTGATTATTTATTTGAGATTTGGTTAAGGAATTGATTCAGTAAAAATATTTTATGAAGGTACTCGTGTTTCACCTGAGCAAGGATCAGTTAGGTCCAGTGTTGTCCGTTCGTTAAATCATCCCGAACCTCGTACTACGAGAATTACCCGTAGGTTTTCGTATATTATTTAAATAAAGATTAAGATTATTTATATTAAGATTCCAATATGGATTTTTCTGATTCGTAGGATCTAGCGCTGCAGCGGAGCGTGATCGACAGACTTAGTAGTAGGCTTCCTTATCTGATTTCTCAAACTGTTGCAGGTGTGTTTCCTGACGGTGTTATCTTATTGTTTTAAACTATCATATGAATTGTTTCAAATTTATGATGATGTTGAATGTTATTACAACACGATACCTATTTTCTGAATATTGGTTACCCGATACCTGATTTACCGGATTTTACTGATATGATGTATGGTTTCTGTAATTTATGCATATGATTTTCTAGCATGAACCATTTTCATGTTTTAATGGATTGACATTTATTTTCACCTGAATACATACATGTTTATTACTGTCAATGGGGTATTATTGAGGGAAATATTTCAGGCTCCTTTGTTGTGTGCTTAGGGTAAGTCCTTACTGGTGTGCAGGTGGGTGTATGGTTCTGGGGAACCTATACATTTTTGTGATTGGAGTGATTGGATGGGAAAGTTATTAGCGCATGCTCTTCGTCTTTGTGCTCAGGGTAAGTCCTTACTGGTGTGTAGGTGGGTGTATGGTTCTGGGAAACCTACACATTTTGGTGGTTGGAGTGATTGGATGGGAAAGTTATTACCGCAGACTCCTCGGCTTTGTGCTCAGGGTAAGTCCTTACTGGTGTGCAGGTGGGTGTATGGTTCTGGTGAACCTACACATTTTGGTGATTGGAGTGATTGGATGGGAAAGTTATTACCGTTGGCTCCTCGGCTTTGTGCTCAGGGTAAGTCCTTACTGGTGTGCAGGTGGGTGTATGGTTCTGGAAAATATATAAAAAAAATAATAGAAATCAGAATGAGTGGATGGAAATAGTGTTCATAATTTTAAATAAAACAAACTTGTTGATAAACTGATTTTACTAGAATATTTTATTAGTATGTGTTTATATACTGTTGGAAGCACACTGGGCTTTTTGGCTCATTCTGTAGTTTTTACCCTTTTTCAGATAACAGTAGACCGCAAGCTAGTAAATTTAGCATCAGGGGAGATCAACTACTTATTTTGTACGAACGTACATCTCTATATGTTTTTCGGTTATGGTTTGGTGATATGTATTTGCTATCGTTTTGGATATATTTGTATTATTAATATTTTGTTCTATATTATATCTAATGTATTATAAGTTATTTAAAAAAAATCTCTGAATGGGATATGTGACCACTTAGGTTTGGGTCTAACTTACAGACCGGGTCTGGGGGGTTGCACTTAGTCTACCTTTCATCGAAACTCAGTCTCAAATCACATTTATCTCAGGCCTTAGCGCCTTTCTTTAAATTATATTCCATTAGGTTTGATGCCTTTACTGGGAGATTCATCTCGACACATAGAGACTAGTGTCATGATCTAAATGTAATTGTATCCATAAAGTTAAGGCTATTAACATGGTCCATTACTACATTCAAGTGTCAAAAAGTCTTCAACTTGACAACTCGAGCGAAACTCACTTCATAAAGCTCGGACATTACCTCTATAGCTGTTTCAGGCATTACCTCTGAAGATTAACAACTTACTACTTTCAGCGGAGTACCCCCAACAATGTTAAAATTCACTTTCATTAGTACCATATTATTCTTTAAGCCTTTAATTTTAAGATTTTCTAAACTTGTCAAGAAGAAATTGTTATAGTATGAGTGTCAATGAAAGTCAGGAAACTTCATCCTTATAGCTCAATTTCCAAGAAACTGATTTAAGCCAAATTAGTTTATTCCACCATTCCATTTGTGAAGACTATATATCGTCATGGAACATCCTTAATATATAAGCAAGCTAATGAGTCTTGCATTGTCATGCATCAAAGATGCACCATTTTGTCCTCTTCCAGACTTACCTGAGCGTTTGTGGGCTTCATGGTGTGGGGAAATGTTACCATTTTTTTGGGAGTCAATGATAAATGGATCTTGTCTTTCTGGAAATTTGATATCGTCGTATGTCCAAAGGCTATAACCTCGATTTAAATGTGCATTTCATTATATTTGATATTCACTGAATTTCACAAATGTTTCATTGCTCATTAAAATGATCATAAAAATGACAACTTTAAATAAGACATATTATTCTTTTGGGTATGATTGCCTCACAGTGAGTTGGCGAAGACCTCTTCTTGCTTTGTCCTAAGATGCCCCATTCCTCGGTTGTGTCATAACTCTGTAGGAGTTATTCCCCCTTTGACAGTTTTGATTCGGTCTCTCAATTGTCTCATTTTCTCCTCCATCTTCCGAGACTTGTCCTCTTCGTCAAGGTCTAGATTGCAATGGTCTTTCGGATTTGTTGCCGAAGCCCGTGCTTTCATGACAGAAGAATCTCCTAGGTACCCTTGAAAGTTTTCGGGTGTGATTACCAACTTTGATAGGGGTAGCGACGACACTATTTCTTATGATCCCTCTGCCTCAGGGACGTTCACAAAGTTTAATCTTGTCAGCCTGGCCACAATCTGACCAACCAAGCTATTTCTTCATGATGATGTCCTTATGGTTCTGGATCATTATGTTTTCCAGATCCTTTTGGCAAAAGTTTACTCGATCTCCTTTAGTCTAGCCTCCATTTGTTGGTAATTTTTTTTTGGTTCTTCATGATGGTGTCAGCCTATCCTTTTGGCAAAAGTTTATTCGTGATTACCAACTTTAATTTAGTGTTTGTTGATACTTTTTTTTACTAAGTTCTTCAAACAAGAATAGGGTAGTAGACAATTTAGGTATAAGTTATCAACCAATGGCAGCTAGTCAGATCCAAGAGGCAGCCTTTACTAGGAAAGTGTCGTGTATTATTTCATAACCTTGATGACCAGTAGGAAAGTGAAAAGACTAGGGAAGAAAACATGATGAGACTTGTTGCTTTGAAGAACTCGGCCGTGAAATATGGTCCATTAATGTACCTAACCGTCAATTAGGTATTAAACACACTCTTTGAAATATTCTACATTATCTAAAATGTAGAGGAGAATCATTTTCACCAACTATATATACAAATTGATTTTAATGTGCCATGCCAGCTTTTCTTAATATAAGTTGACAACAATGACAGTAATGAAAGTAATTTGTATTACAAATTTTAAAGATTTAGTGATTGTATTACAAGTTTTAGAAGTTTAGAGACCAACACACATACATCTTATAATATAACATCACTTGGATTTGTACATATTGGAGATAGAAAACGATTATCTTACAAGTCCCATATGAAATCCATTAACAATATATACGGCATCAAACATATGCGGGGAATTCTTATCTGCAATAAGACTGGAGAAGGAAAAGGAAAATCAAAATCATTATAAGCTTAAATTAAAAGAGTTCCAACAGCTTGTGTGTAAATTACCATCAGAATACATTACAGAACTGATGTGCAACAATAGAAAACAACAAAACATGCTTTAATCTAAACCAAAAATGTTTAAACCAGAAACCACAAGCATATCATAGCAACAGCAGCAGCAATGATAATAGATCGGAAGCAACGAATCACAGCCTTCTTCCTCGCCTACCACCCTTTCTACGAGTACTGTCGGTGGGAATGGGGGTAACATCCTCTGAGGTCAAAAGGTTGCAAATCAATTTACAATAGTAGAAATGAATAGACATGATGAAAACTCAAGAAACCGATGAATAAGAGAAAAAAAATATACCTATGCGTCCAATTTTCATGCCTGATCGAGCAAGGGCTCTAAGTGCCGACTGTGCACCAGGACCAGGCGTCTTAGTCTTGTTCCCTCCTGTTGCTCTTAGCTTTATATGAAGGGCAGTAATACCCAACTCCTACAATATAACAAACAACTATGAAATAAGTTCACACCGCGCAAAAACCATGTGGTGTGCTACAAGTCAGAGGGATTGAGCGATAAGACCTTGCAGCGTTGGGAAACATCTTGGGCCGCAAGCATGGCAGCATATGGAGAGGACTCATCTCTATCAGCCTTCACCTTCATACCACCTAATTTGAAAAATCAAAGGAATAAGTTCGAAAATTACTATTCATGGGAATTATTCAAACCTCAGATATGAATATTGACATACGCTGCAACATTAATGGACACACCAAAAAGCATATTCGAAAGATAATCATAAACCATACCAGTAATGCGAACCATTGTTTCTCTTCCAGACAAATCAGTCACATGCTGCAAATCAAATGACAGGATGTTACACAGAATGAACGACAAGAAAAAAATCAATGTAAAAAGTGTGGGTTATCGCTTACAATAAATGTGTCGTTAAACGAAGCAAAAATGTGAGCCACTCCAAAAACATACTCGCCCTCTCGAACAGCAGGTCCAAGGGTAGTAGCCTCCTCCTTGGGCTCCCTAACCTTTCTCCTTGACTAGAAAATACCACAAAATCATTGAGTAAATCAGTTACCTTAGAATCTCCTATTGCAAAATAAACCCTAAAAAGGAAGCCCCCAAGGCTCCATTTGAACCTAAATATCACCGCCAACATAGAATGCAAGGTTAAATCTAACCTAATAAGTAAATGGCTCCAACTTCAACTTTTCCATTTCAAGACCAACACACAGAATTGCACATATGATAATATAATTTGATTCAGTTTTTCAAGCAAAAAATCATGATAAAATTCAGGGAAAAGTAAACAAAACCAACCTAGAAAAAGATGCAATTTTTCTGAGATGCCAAACAGAATTGATCGTATGATGGAGAACACAAATAGATGAAAACGAGAGACTTACCATGGCTTCCGCGAAACGAAGAAGTGGTGAGAGACTAGGGTTTTGTGGGAGCTTAATCTGATGATTTGGCCTCCGACGACTCAAGCTTTCAAAGACATGCACAACAACGGCTGCTACTACTTTATAACTAGGTTTAACAATAACCCTAAACCTTAAATGACGAAAAAGACCTTGTATTTATCTTATATTTTGCATTCATGAGAGAACAATAGAATTTGGAATAAATATATGGGTAAACTACAAATTTAGTACTTTAACTACCACTTTTGTTCCATTTTGATCAATCAACTCTTTGTTTTCCCAAAACCATAAATAACATTGCTATTTGATTTCATTTTGATAATCAATTGTTAAAAAAAAAACAGAATTACTAATATGATTTGTTTATTTCTTTTAATAATGACGTGATATTACCTAATGATGGTACGTCGATACCACCATTATTCTTTTTAACGACCGATGATTAAAATGAAATCAAAACTGAACGCTAAATGTGATTTTGAAAAAATAGTTCGGTAACCAAAACAAAACAAAAGTAAGAATTGTGATACTAAATTATAGTTTGCTCTAAATATAATTTCTATTTTATTAAAGAAATTAGATATATTACGAATAAATAATAAATTCAATGAAAATAAACCCTATTAGATCTAATCATTATTATTTTATCTATTAATTTTAATACATTAATTATCATTATACATAAAGAGATAAGATTCAGTTACACAATGCAAAATTAAATAGCTTGATATTGATTTATAATCTTTAGATAAATAAAAACAAACAACTGAGATTAATAGTTTAAAATGAAAAAATATTTATTGAAAAAAACAAAAAAATAATTTTAGTTATCTATTTACACTTATTTAATGATCCTAAATTAATGTAAATTAATAAAAAATAAATAAATTCATGTAAAATTATTTTTTCTTTTATCTCATGTAAAACTTTTTTTATTAAGTTAAAGTGATTACAAAGTATTATATGTTATAAATACTCTTAGTTATTTGACAATGAACACTCAATCACCCTACTACAACTGCTGATGTTTGAACTCATGACTCCAAGGAACAACAACGAGGTAAGTTGGTTCGTGCCTCTCGTGTAATACTTTTGAAAATAAACATACAACTACTGCTTAACAAAGGGACCTGTGTGGTACTTTTACCCACGAAAAAGTTACAAATTGTTTCTTTCGAGGGGAAAATTACAAAGTGAAGGACTTGTGTCGTATTTCTATCCATGAAAAAAAATATACAAAATTAACATTCAAGATGTAAGATTTGATCCAACGCTCTTTCGTACCGAAGCCTATATCTGGCGCCTTGGACCACTCGGCCAAACTGTCTTAGTTAAGGCATTGTTTATTTTAAAACTATTAAAGCTAGAAACTCAATAAATCATAAGACAGAAACTAAAAAGAAAGCTAATAAAGCAACAAAAATCAATGTTAAAAACCAACAACTTTGAGACCCTCCGTAGCCTTGGTAAGGATCTGCCATCCATTCCAAGGCTTCTTTACCGTATTTCTTTCCCTCCGAAATCCTCACAACATTTTCCCCTTCTTCACATAACCTTATGTGAGACAATATGTGAGGGAAAACTTCTTTAAAAGACTCTTCACCGATCAACAAATCCGAATGTCCATATCCATCCACAACCACCCTTTCATGTCTGAACCCTGGTTGATGCATCTTCACATAGTTGTTTGCTAGAAAAGTGGTCTCCGGGGTCACCAGAAGACTTCGTCCCCCGGAGACGTATAACGTCGAGACCGCCATTCTCTCCGGATGAATCAAATACGAGTTGTTTCCGTTACTATCCACGATGAACCCTGACTTGCAGATTTTCCTCAGGTGAGGGAATGCTGCCAAGGGGATGTTTGTTGTGCTTTGCTTGTTTAACCAATGGTGCATTGTTGGGGTGACGTTTTGATGCCAGAATGCATTGCCAAATATGCCGGAAAAGACCTCGCATTCATCGCAAGTGCACCTTTCGTACCTTGGTAGCCAACGGGCTATCGCTATTAGGAGCCGATGTCTTAAACTGGCCTTTGATCTTGATGTCTCTAACAGTGGCAGAATCTTGTTCTCGCCTAGCAATGCCATTGAAATCTGCAGGTTGACTTGATTTAGATGGAAGCGTGAGGGTCAAGAAATATCGAATTGACATTAAAAGGGAAACTCACCGGGATCAAAGGGAGCCACATTTTGACAGTGGCTAAAGTAGTCACCTTGAAGAACATCGAAGAGTTGGTGCAACACAACGAAGCGATCTGAGTTGGAGAGATGTGTCCCCCCAAGAGAGCTATGTGAATGGACAATCCACCAACACAGTGCGCAACCACATGTACCTTTATGTTCGAACAGTGGAATTCTCGTATCTTGTCGATTACTGCAAATTAAATGCAGCAAGAAATCATTGAGATGTGTGAGTAAGTGATTATTACATCTACAGCTTTTTTTCAAATCTTTTTCGTACCAGAAGGTATATCATATCTTCCAATGTCTTCAATGGTGAAGTTGTTCGAGGGAAGTGATACGTGCAGTCGCGATTGAAGTAGCCATACTTCACGCCCTTCTGCCAGTAAAGTCCTAATTAAATCGTTCGGTTCCGTTGGCAGAAAGAAACTCTCAGTGGAATGGCCATTAAGTAGAAGAATTGGTTGCTTTTCTTCCTTGAGGTTCCATTTACTTTGATCACAGCTCCACTGCAGGCAACTGATGTTACATCCATCTTCTGCATCATATAGAGTAAGCAATCAAAATTACAACTTATAAACATGTTCATAGAAATGCTTAAATAAATCAAACAGCCAAAGATAACTGGATTATAACTTGTAAGGATCTTTAACAGGTTCGGACTCGTGCATACCTGTTTTTAACCGATGGAAAGTACTCTCTGGATAAGAAGAATAGTCGGAAGAATCGGTCAGGTACTCTTTGTTACTTTGATATGGTATCTGTAAAACATAGGTTCTAAGGAGATTCGATGAGAAAAGATCGATAAATCTTCCTTTTACGTTTCCTTCAAGACTAAATAGGCTTTTCAGTAGATCCATCATGGAAATTCTAAGCTCCCCTTTTAAGTTCAACCCTTCTTCCCCAGCAACCCTTTTGAATGTCACATACAATGTTGTTGTCTCGTTCCAAGAATTAAGTGCAAAAGGAAAAGGATTCATTATCTTCTTTCCCTCAAGGACATATCTGCATTTAGTCAATTAAACTTACAGAAATTTTCTAGGTAAAGAAAAAGGAGAATTTAGAGGAATGCAAATGGATGCCTTGTTGTACCTTGACCCGGAAGAAGCGGCAAGGAGAAGGCGGTAGTGAAAATACCGTGTGTAAGGGGTTCGGCAATCTACTTCAAACATGTCTACTTCCCCATCTATAATATGCATCTTATCCTTCTCTATTGCTCTGAAGACAAGGTAACCTCCAACTTTCCCTTTTAAAGTTTGATGAGTTTTTCTCGTAAACCTACTCGAAACATCGTTGTTGTTCCGGTTCTGCAAGTTTATCTTCATTATCAGAGAAGCTGTGCATGGCATACCCCCAATATAGCCTCTCATTGTTTCTTTGACAGATGCGTATGATGTCTCTTTGCTCTTCAAATTATCGTGTGTTTCTTTATATGGATTGTGATCTACCACTTTAGAAACAAAATCTGTGCAGTTTTGACTATTGTACTTGAGAATATCCTTCACAATGTGCTTACTAACATGCTCAGCGGCTGTTGCAATAGTAAGGCACGGGTTTACGCCAACCGAGCATGGAATTAGAGAAGCGTCACAAACATAGAGACCTTGATGCACTAGACCAGGAGCCTCTGGATCGAAAACCTTACCATTTGGGCTACAAACACCATTCGAGAAGTCTGAAGATGCATTGCAGCCACCTAGAAGATGTACCGACGTGCTTCGGTACTTGGCCATGAAGAGAATTCCCCCTAGTTTCTTGGTAGTCCTTTGGAAGGCCTCAACTTTTCTTGGAAGCAAAGGGTCATGGGGTGGATTAAAGCAAATTTTATTGGTTTCCTGTTCGAATGTGATATTCCCATCACCCTTGTCATGCCCCATTGCATTGAGCACCATTGCTTGGCTTGACTTAGAACCTATGAGATGTTTCAGCTTATCAATAACACCATGAAAGAACCAGTAACCAGTCGGCCATCCGAATGTTGTGATCCCTTTAAACAAGATGTAAGGATAAGCAGTAGGAAGTACTGCACTCTGCACCAAAACAAAAATGTGTAAACAAATGATCCTACAATCCTGTAGTACATTCTTGCAAGTTAAGTTTCTATCGATGGAAATATTCGAACCTGAATTGTGAAACCCAATGAAGAAGTGTAAGATGAAGAGATCGACGGTCCAGGCCTTGCTTGAATAGGTATCTTGGATAGTTGCTTTCCATCTAATCCATAGGCATTCAAAGGTCCTGAGCTTCCAGCAAGATAAGCAACATTATTACCATTACAACTGAATCCGGAACCAAGTGCATCTGAAAGTTTTAATCCTCTCATCTGTGATTTGAAAAGTATTGCAGCCGTGCCGAAAACTCCCGCTGTCGGACATGAAATCAAAGTTACCCTTAAGATTTTGCAAAACAGAAGTTTGAAGTTATTTCATATATATTCAGGTTTCACTATTACTGCTTCATACCTGACAGGATCACGAAATCAGCTTTTATGTAATCGATCTCGTTTAAGTACACAAACCACCTTCGTCCACGGATTTCATCGTCTCGGCCTGATTCGAATGGATTCTTAATGACATACTGAACTCCACACTCTGTCTTGATAATACATCCTGCCTGCAAAACAGATTGAATAAATGAAACGAGCCTGGTAACTCAAAGAAATTGTATCAAGTTAAAGAGAATATGCCTGAGTTGCTGATTCAAGATAATTTTTGTCTGTAGAATTCTTGGCATTATAAGGACAACCAGCAAGACAATTTCCGCAGGCTATGCAGGTATCCAAATTTTGATGCTTCGGTGATCTGGATGACGACTCTTCGAGATCGAAATTCATGCTGAACTTCAATGAATCTCGAACGATTCCTTCGACGTCTCCCACACCGATTTCTTCCATAACTTTAGCAACAGGGAACTGGATTGGAGCACTTTGTATTCTCAACATGGAAGCAGCAGAAGCTTGACAACTATCCCAGTCCCTTTCCCATTCCTTCGGCCACTTCGAATTTCTTCGAGTACGAACCGGAGTTGGCAGCATTACTCCGGCGTTTACTAGTGAACCACCACCAAGTCCACAAGCCACTGCTGCCAGTGAATCATTTTGTACATAAACCTATAATTCCATGTATACTATATTTAAAAGAACCCTTCATAGTAAGGACACATAAAATTATGTTGTGTGGAAGGAGATTGACCTGAAACAAAGCATCCCTTGGACCAAAGCTGACACCTAAGTTGTGATTCTCCATCCTTGTAGTTGACATCAACCCGAAACTGTCTGTAGGAAAATCCTTAGCTTCCCATTTTCGGCCCTTCTCGACCAGACATACCTTGACTCCCGCCTCGGACAACCGACAAGCGGCGACCGAACCACCGTATCCCGACCCCACAACAACAGCATCGTATCCATCTTCCCTGTCGAACATCGTTTGCTTTGAATCTATTGGTTTCTCCATTTCAGCTTATTAAGGGCTGTTATCCTGTTACAGAAACAATGAAAAATAATAAAGACGGTAATCAAGGAATCAACTACCCTTATATAACAATCTACTTTGAGGAAGTTGAAGTTTTTTTTTTCTTTTTTCTTCTAATTTTTAGAGTACTTTTGTCGATTGGTTGGAAATGTAAAACATACATATCCATCAAAGGAAGACCAAGATTACTTATTAAATACGATGCCAAACAAAGTCAGAAGCCAAAACCCAATATTGACGTATTCTGCTGCTTCCCCTTTTTAAAAGTAAACCACCAAAGTCAATGACATCAATAAGTAAGGAATTGCATTTATTAATAATCTTTTAACTACTCCATTATTATTATTATTATTATAAGGAAAAACTACTCCAGAAACCACTTAACTTTGTCGCTGAATCGTTTATACCATTGAACATTTAATTTTATCGATTATAACACTACACTTTAATTTTCGTTTCAATTATATCACTGTATCGTTAATAATTTAACGGCATAGTGACTTTGACGTGGTTGACGGCTGTCAACGTAGACACCACATCGAAACGACGACGTTTCTATGCAGCTATTTTGATACTCAAAACGTATCAAAACAACCACTAAGTTAACTTAATTAACAATTTAACAGATCATTGTTATAATTGAAGTGAAAATCAAAATTCCGTATTAAATTTGGTAAAGTTAAAAGTTTAGTACTATAACTGAATCGGGAATCAAAGTCAAATTTTGATGAAAATAAAATTTTAGTAATACATAATTGATGATAAATAAATTTTACTCTGAATCTGAATTTAAAATCGAATAAAATAAATCATACAGAACATGGAGTAAATTTTAATAAAAATATACGAAATAATTAAAATATTACATGACATTAAAAGTAATATGAACACTACATGAATATAAAGCATATATTTTTTTTTAAACTGACAGAATTCAACAAAGTTATTCTTTAATAAAAAGTCTATTTGTTTATTTTTTATTTTTACAGAAGTTATAGTTTGAATAGGATAACTTATAACCTAAAAATCCTAATTATTTATTATGATTAGTATTGTATGATAAAGTCTTGGTATGCTGCACTAACCTTGGGCTGGTTTCAAAGTTTTAGAATTATCATATTTTTTGTTATATGGTTTATGATTTTTACAGAAACTCAAATTTGAATAGGATAACTTCCATCCTAAAAAAACCTATTTATTTATTATAAATAATATTATATGATTTATCTATAATGTTTTTCAAAATATTTTTGAAGTCAAATTGGACCAGACAGCAACGCAGAAAAAAAAATACTTTTCAAAGTATTTTTGAAGTCAAAAATAATTTTTTGAACAATAAACAAAGGAGAATATATGATTTTTCAACTTGTGAATTGATTTTCAAAAGCTAAAATTTATAGGATTTGACTTTTCCAAAAATAATTTTGAACAGAACTTTTTTATTTGTCCTCACTAATTCTTTTATATTTTCAAAATATATATTTATTTATTTTAAAACATTTTTGTGATAGCAACTCAAAATAATTAAATTTTAAATCAATTTGTAATATCCTAATCTGATTTGGTTAAAATATGCATATTACATATAATAATTCCGAAAACTACATAAGAAATGTACATACACAATAAATATATTGAACTTTATATGTATAATAAAATAGCTATAAAATATTAAACACAATAATAATATAAATTATAGGTAACAAAGAAATATTATATATGTTAGAACCGAAATCATAATAAATATGAAAAATAACTAAGATCTAATAATGCCAAATCATTAAGAATAAAATACTAGATTTGCATAAGCGTATCTGAATTAATTGATAGATTAAATCTTTGAGTCTTTCTTTGGTTATGATCTTCCAAGAAGATAGGCTTGCTCTTGCTGTAAAAACTATATGGCATAGATAAGAGTAATACAAGTTAACTTATTTCTTGGGGACCACTACCTGTTTATATAAATAAAATATTAGGTCAATCTTTTAAGTATTTATAATTTTTCCTCTCATCAAATTATAAATACAATTTATGGTATCTACACTTTGATTCCGTGACAATTTAATACATATAACACATGTGACATAATTGGCCACTTAATTTTGTATCATATTGTATTTGTACATTATACATATGTGCCCAAAATATAGATTTTACTCCAACAATTTAAATATACTATAAATTATAAATATAAAAAAATACTATATAAGACATGATGGATGCAAATGAAACATGAATGACTAAATTAACCATAATGAAAATTGAAGACAACGAAATAAATTGCATAAGGAAATAAATAATTAGAATAAAATAAATATACATTAAAGGCTGAAATAATAAAAATGCATAAACTAAACGTGAGATTAAATTGAAGTAAAGAAAAATACAAGACAAAAATAAAAATTGTGAAAATTAAATATGCATAAAAATAAAGATGAAATCGAAATAAAATAAAATGTGAATGCTGAAATTAAATAAAGTGGAACTAAATAGAACCAAAATAAAATAATATAAAAATGATGAGACCCATATGGTAATTAATGCAAAAGAATCCAAAAAATATTAATCTTCCCCATTATATTTAGGTTCTATTTAGTTTAGGGGGTTTTGATTCATGAAAAAGTTCTTTATCAAGGGGAATAATATTTTTAAATTGTATTCTCACGTTTGGTTCATAAAAATTTATTACCAGGGAATAATCTTTTCCCAATAATTGCATTTTGGTTAAAATGGTGTGAATGTCATTACCTCAAATTCTTGATATTAGACAATTTCTACTACTTTGGACAAAAATACCCCTAGACTAATGAATTCTTTTTATAATGATCCTTCTCAATTCTTATTTTTTGCACTTTACACAAAATCACAAACATAATAATAATATACAAATAATAATTTAGTAAAATATTAATAAAATTTGAGTATTTAAAATTATTTTATATTTTTAATATTCAATATATTAATTATTTTAGTTTTATGAGGTGAAAATAATATTATTGTAAAAAATATAATTATTTAAATAATATTTAACTTTAAGTTATTAAAAAATATATCTTATATATTAAAAATAATAACTTTGTAATCTGATAGCAAGGATGCTATTGTCGTGCTTCAGTGCCAGCCCAGAGTTAATGGTATTTCTATGATGGCACCACATATTCACGATCTTGTCGGGCGCGAATGATGTCTTTAGTTTAATTATGTCCCCCCGGAAAGTAATCGAGTTGCTTAAGGTTTGACGCGCTTGGCCTGAAATCTCTCTGCAGATGTTCAACGGTACTTAGAGCTGCCAGTAGAAGATTTGAGTCATGTTAATATGGATGCCAATGGCATGGGGAATAATTAAGAGTCAAGCTCTTCCCACTATATTAAAAAATAATATCTATGTCTCACTAAAAAATGATCATTTTCCTCTTCCCTTTATAGATCAAATGATTAATAGATTAACTAGGAAAACTCATTACTGTTGCCTTGATGGTTTTTCAGTTTTTTTCCATATCCAGTAGCGCCATAAGACCAAGAAAAAAATGACTTTTACCTATCCATTCAGTACATTTGCATATCGGAGGATGCCAGTTGACCTTTGCAACGCACCAGCTACTTTCCAAAAATGTATGCTGAGTATTTTTTCTGACTATGTGGAGAAGGGCTCGAAGTCTTCATGGATGACTTCACGGTATATGATAATTCTTTTAATGAATGTCTTGATAATTTAATTAATGTGCTTAAGAGATGCTTATAATTTAATCTTGTCTAGAACTATGAAAAATGTCATTTTACGGTTGGCAAGGGATTAATTATGGGACATATTGTTTCGTCTAATGGAATTGCCGTTGATAAAGCCAAGACCGATATTATACGCTCATTACCTTACCCCACAACTATGAGAGAGATTCGTTCTTTTCTCGGCCATTCTAGTTTCTACCAAAAATTTATTAAAGATTTTTTAAATTTGGTGTGGCCGTTGTGTGATCTGTTATAAAAAGATAAAGTCTTCGACTTTAATCCTTAGTGCAAAGAATCGTTCGATGTACTTAAAAAAAGTTAATCACGACACTAATCGTTAAGGCACCAAATTGGGAATATGATTTTGAGTTTATGTGTGATGCATCAGATACAAGCGTTGGAGCCATTATTGGACAAAGAATCGGCAAAGAATCACATGTTATCACCTACATTTCATGAACTTTGGATTCGACTTAGAGAAATTACTCCACAACATAAAAAAATTATTCTCTATTATCTTTGCCTTAGACAAATTTAGATCTTATTTACTTAGAACTAAAGTAATTGTTTTTTCTGACCATACAACTTTAAAGTACATGATGATAAAAAAGGAGGTGAAATCGAGGATTATCTTATAGATCCTTATTTTACAAGAATTTAATTTAGAAATTAAATACAAAAAGAGATTGAGAACTTAGTTGTAGATCATTTGAGATGCATTCCACTTTCTTTAACCTATCCACCGCTTCGAGAAGAGTTCCTAGAGGAACATTTGATGTTGGAATAGAAGATGGTTTCATGGTTCGCATATATGGTAAATTATATGGTCTTAAGTAAATTACCCTTAGACTTGCCTAGATCTAAAATTAATCTACTAAAGTGTGAGTCCCAATATTATATTTGGGATGATCCTTATTTATGGAGGCATTGCTTGGATGAGGTAATTAGGTGATGCATCGCCAATGAAGAGGTAAATTCTACATTGAATTTCTGTCATTCTTATGAATGTGGTGGTCACTTTGGACTGAAGTGAACTTCCCATAAAATTTTGGAATGTGGTTTCTTTTGGCCTACTTTATTTCGTGACACTTATTTATTTTGTAAATCATGCGAGAAGTGTAAACGTGCAGGGAATTTAAGCCGAATGAATGAATTACCTCAAAATCCGATTCACATATGTGAGATTGTTGATGTGTGGGGAATCAATTACATGGTCCTTTTACTTCTTCATTCGGAAATATTTACATATTTCTTGTTGTAGATTATGTTTCTAAATGGGTAGAAGGTAAGGCTACCGAAATAATGATGCTAGAACTACTATTAACTTTTTGAAGAATTCTATATTTTCTAGGTTCGACACACCACGAGCGATAATAAGCGATCAAAGAACCCACTTCATCAA